AATGTGGGTCAGTGAAACACATTCCTCAGCTCTGGCTAAGAGAAACCAGGGAGCACCCTTTTTTCCACTTACAATTAGTCGTCCTCACTTTTGGTTGCACTTTTGATATTTCTGAGGAACTTTAAAAAATAAATCTGGGCCCTCCCTGGTGGCGCAGCGAGTTAAAGCACAGCACTGAGAAACTAAAGCCACTGCATGCAGCATGAGTTCGATCCCCGCCTGCCCCAGAGGTGACCACATGGCGCGGCAGACCTCTCCTGACCCGCCCGCTGCTCCCCTCAGCAGTGTGCTTCATCCATCTGTCTGCTCTGCTCCCCACTCTGTTTATGATGGAACCTCTCGCCGCCCCTGAGCTTGTGGACTGTACCCCAGTTCTGTATGCACAAATAAATAAATCTTTAAAAAATAAAGAAATAAATCTGATAACGGGTTAAAGGCCTCAGTTCTCAGTGTTACTGATCTTGAGGGTATCTTTGGTTTTGAGATTTTCATTACGATTCCCCAGGTGTTTCTCATGTGCAGCTAAGTTCAGAATACATTATGTACATTTCTGCAAGAAATGTAAAAATAAATCTAATATGCTTTTAAAAAAAGGCGTTCAAGAAAGAGAACTGGAAACCACCTGCACTTTTTTTTTTTTAATAAATTCCTGCTTCCTGATGGCAAAATTTCATAGTAGGATCAGAAAAAAATTGTCTTTGGCCATAATGGGAGTTTCCAGAATGTTCTCTTTACTTCCTTTCTCTGCACACCTGAAGTCCAACTGGTCCTTTACAAATACCATAAGATAAGAGTTTCCAAAATGTAGGGAAACAAAGTATTAGAAAGCAAATCTTTAAAATGCTAATTAATAGGAAAAAGAGGAGTGTAATTTACCTTTTATCCAAGCATGGACTGTGCTGTGGGATAGACTCAGACTGATGGCCCACAGGAAACTGGATGTTAGCAAGTATCCCAGTCCATGGGCATTTTGCCCTATGTGACCAAGTTTTATACAGATAGGTGCTTACATAAACTTATGTCCCCATAACCCACATCTTCTGAAATGCCAAGGCAAAGCGCCAGATGTGTGGTTGGAAAGCAGTGCCAGCCTTGGCTGAAAATCTAGCCCCACCCAAGTGTCTTAGAGTTCACCAAGGGTTTACGCTTCTAGGAATCATTAGAAAGGCACTTAATAGATTATTAACTTCACTGAAAAGAAAGTTGATGCCTGAAGATACTTATGTGGCAGAAAGATGGCTTTTTCTCCGTTTTTGTGGCTTTGAAAGGAGAAAAAGAAATCCTTAATTCAGCCTTGCTTCAACACTTGCCAGCAAGGTTATATATTTCCTATTCATTTTCTCTAAATAAACCTTAAGAGAAAAAAAATGGTAAGACTGATAACTTGATTGTTCAAGGCATTAATTAAACTATCAGTGGTGTAATAAAATTCCACAGTAAGATGCACTTGAACATAATGCAGTTGGTGACTAACTGCCATCCTCTGCCAACCCGAACAGGTAGAATAGCCTGAAGCTCTCACTTGGTTCAGGACCAGGATGAAGAGGGACAGCTTTAGGCCAGGTGGAAACAGTCTTATAATCATCTGGAACATAGCCTTTCCAATTACAATCAGCACAAACATGATAGCTTCAGCATCTTTACTTTTGTACTTAATATGACTGTAAACACCTGCTGGAAAGGTTTCCCATTAACCTCATTACAAAAAGATCCCATATTTTATGCTACTTAATTTTTTGTACCTGCATCTTCATGTCATTATGGTGTGTTTAATAAATCATTTTTGCAAGCATTGCCTTATCAGCCTTCCCATAACCTCTCCATTGTCCCCCAGTTTTCTGAGAGGCACGAGATGGGACTATATTAGAAGACCCTCTCACTAGAGTTCAGAGTTCAAGGAAGTCCCCTGCCTCTTCTAAAGAGAAGTATAAAGTACTTTGGTGTATTCTGAGAATCCTGACAAAGTGCATTATTTGATATTTCCTTTGGGGAACTAACATCTGATGTCTCACATGGCTCCAAAATGGCAGCTGGGGTCCTGTCAGCCACCCAGCATGTGTGTCAGTCCCCTTGTTCCCACCCAAGCACACCTCTTGTAGTTCCAGACATGTCTATTTCCACATCTCCTTTGGGGTATGGACTGATACAGCAGGTGGCCAGGGTCACCTCACTGCTCCAAATCTGATTACTCAGTTGTGGAATCACTTCACCTTAGGCCACCACACTAGGAGCACAGACAGACCTGTGAGGGAAAATGCAGTGCAGGCAAAAGGTTCCAGAGGCAGTAAGAGGAGCAATCTGGAAGGAGTCAAGTGCGACTCAGGGTCAGGCAGAGTTCAGTAGTGCAGCTCCAGAACCCAAGTGCTGGAATTTCAGTTCTGGTTCTCTCTTCCTCTCTGTGTGTCCTTGGACAGGTTTATTAGCCTTTGATGCCTTATTTTTCATAGTCTATAAAATAGGAGGTAGCGATAATGATACACATCTCATGGGTTTTAAAACAAAATTCTTGGCATATAATTCGAGTTCTCTAAAACTGCTTATTACAATTATTACCTCTGTCATCATTATCCTTAAATGAAGAATTAGATACCATAAAGAAGAGTTTTCCCAATTGTATTAGTTTTCCAGGACTTCCGTGACTAGCCACCAGAAACTGAGTGGCTTAAAATAACAGAAATGTGTCTTGTCATAGTTCAAAATCACAGTATCACCAAAGCTGGTTCCTTTTGGAGTCTCTGAGAAGCCACGCCATCTCTCTGAGAAGCCACGCCATGTCTCTCTCAGCTTCTGGTGGTTGCCACTAACCTTAGGTGGTGTTGGCTTATAGATCTGCCATTCCAGTCTTTCCCTGCATCATCTCTGTTCCCTTGTCTTTTCCTTTTCTGTCTTAGAAAGACATTTGCATTGGATTTAGAGCCTACCTTAATCCAATATTATTTCATGTCAACCCTGAAAACATCTGCAAAGACTGTCATTCCTAGTGGACATGAATTTGGTGGTAACACTGTTTCACCCACTATAGCAGTGTGCTAAGTGCAAATTTGTTAAATCAGAGGAAAAAATCACCAAGAGTTCCTGGAAGAGGGTCGTCTACCCTTGATGTGCTGTTTCTATGCTGAAGGGTTGTGTATGTGAGTGGTCAATTAAGCACAATAAACCAGTTACTCCCAAGGGCATCACTGAGTCAGAATGAAAGTCAAACAGAATGAATTGACATACTCATTTAAACTGTGGCAAACTCCTCTGTAAAGGAGTGATGCACCCAGCAGACCGCATGTGTGGTGAGCTCTTTCTTTCGCTCTCTCCTGACATTGCTTGCCAAGATTTAATCCGCTATTGAACCCTGACTGCATTCTGACACTAGGTAATGCAATGTAAAGGGCAAGGGCTTTGGAGTCACAGGGAAATTGATTTTAATAACATGCTCTGTAACTTACTAGCTCCACTTAACCATCATTTTGGTCTCAGGTAAAGCACTTACCTTCTCTGAGCCTCAATTTGGCTTCTAAAAACTAGGCACAATATCACCACCAGCTTGTAGAGTTGTAGGAAGTAAACTAATATGCCAAAGTTCACCTACGTGACTGACATTTCAATGTGCAATTGCTATTAGTATCACTACTGAAGAGTAGTGATAGTGGTCCTATCTCTCCCACGTATTAGGTTGGAGGGTAGGAGTCCATGAAGCACTGTGAAGACCCATCTGCATACCTCATCATGTTGTTCTGCATCACCACTTTACTGCCAGTAAACAATACAGACAGTACTATAGTTTAACTAAATGTACTCACTGCAGTCCAAATGCAAGACTGCTTCAATGGACAGACCCCGACGGCCTTCGGCCTTTCAGGATTTTGAACTCACTCAGGACCCCACCAGCCCATGGCAAAGCCCCTCCCTTTCATGACACACAAGTGAGCACAGAGCAAAAAGCAGTATTAGTCCTTTAGTGTTATATCAGCATTTCGAGAGGCTTAAATTCCAAATAAACAATATTTGGAAGCTTAAAAACTCATCTCTCATGAGTACATTTTTATTACTTTATTTACTTTGTTACCAAGGTACTACATGTTCATTACAAATTTTTTTTTAAGATAGCCAGGCAAAAAAGATTAAAATCATTCTTAATCTCAGAAAGACATAGGACATAGCTTTTTTTTTTTCTCTTATATTGTGATATTGTCCCAGTTCCTGGTCTTCAACCTGACTTGTAATATTTTCCTAATAATCCATTGTATAAACCTGCCAACATTTCTTTAATTGATTCTGTATTACAGGAATGTTAACTTACTTGCAATATTCTGTTGCTGAAAATAAAATTGGGATGATATGTTTATTCTTTATTAATTTTATAAATCCTTACTAAATTGATATTCATTGTAACCCTACCTCTTTTCCAAATCTTAATTTATGGGGAAGTGATTTTCTTATCTAGTTTGCCCTCAGCTTTGACTGTCTTGCAAGCTCTGTCCTGGGTTGCCTGTACCCACGCTCTGTACCCAGTAGCCGCTAAGTACTCGGTGTTCTTGGATCTGACTGCTCAGCACACTTGTTCAGGGCATGGGGCTAGTGGCGGCCAGTGCTTGGGCTTCCAGCTCTATGTATACTGGTCAGTTAGTTAAGTGTCCAAGGACGATTTGCCTAATTCCAAACAGCTGTTCTTTAAATGCTGACTGTTAGTTTCAAAAGAACTGGACTAAAGAGCATGGGTGAATCAGCACAATTCCATCACCACCATCGGAAAGACAGTGCATCAACAGCTTCATCTTCCCCATAGAAAACAGCTCAGAAAGGCAGCCATGTCAGTCATATCAAATTTGTGAAGTTATAAAAGAGGAGACATGATAATATTGGGGGAAACTATGGCTGACTGTATACTTATTTTGATTTATAAGTCTGTGAGTTTCCCCACCCCATCCCATTTGTTTGTGACACAAATTCAGCAACATGTTTCAAATTGCTGGTGGTGGTGGTATTTAACTGGCAATTTTCTCTTGTAGCTGACACAGCGCTTGGCACAGATGATGTATATGATGAAAAAGGATGCCAGTGTGATGTATCAGTAGAAGACCTCACCCCACCACTTAAAACTGTCATTCGAGCTATCAGGTTGGTGAAAACCTTTGACAAAATGATTCGGAGATCTACCTCTGCTTATTTGAATTACTGTGCTAAGTTCTTTTTCTTGCAGGTAAATCTCCTGGAATAATTACTTTCTCTTTTCCTATTCATCCACACATCTATTACATTTTGAAATATCTTTTTCTTAATACAAAACTCTACTGTGCTCAACACAAAGAATATTATAAAATGTGGGTGGCTTGCCATGTGAATTTGTTGCTTTAAGGACATTTTAGTGTGTAGCTGCAATTGGATTTTTTTTAATTGTTTTTATGCCTTGATGCTCAGTCCATATTCTGTATTTTGTATTCAAGAAAAAGCACTCACATTTATTTCAAAACAGGTTGAGTTCTGAAAGTGGAAAGACTAAAGCAATCTGCAGTGGGTTGTTCCTGACTGCTGAAATGTAACTGCTAGAGGCTGAGATTAGTATGCTTCTACTGAGGGCAGGAAGCTAAGAGACCACCCAAAGCAACTTAGATTTACATTTCCAGGACCACTCACTCCCAAAAATATTTGGAATCTGGACCACTGCATGCTCAGTCTGCCCAGCTTTGAGAGAATTCTTATCTATCAGTAATGCTGACAGTAATACCTCTGATCTTTTTGGTTCTTTCTGCCTCTTCCCCAAAAGCCACAGGAAAGCTTAAAATATCCAACCCAATTTTGTGATCAGGTACTTGGTCTAATCTCAGATATCAGTGTGATTGATTGTTTACTTCTGTTTTCAGTTGGTCCTTTAACATCATGTTTCTAGTGCTGAAAACCACTGGGAAAGCAGATGTGAGTTAGATGTTTGTAAATAAGTGTGGGGGCAAGGAAAGTCATAGAGTATTAGAGTGTCTCACATCGGACCCTTACAATGAGAGTGCTTCCTTGGCCCATTTCACTTGCTGAGAGCCCAGAAGTCCTGGTCCAGCCCTGACATCCAGGGGCACTTAGAAAATATGTTCCCCAAAAGAAACCCAGGCCTTTGAGTAACTCTAACCTAAGGTTTGATTAAGGAACTCAAGATGCTGGTTAAAGGAAAAAATTACTAAAAATCACAGAGCAAGAAATAGAGTCCCAGTAAGAGCTCTATAAATAAAAGAGGGTTGGTCCCTCCCTGGTGGCTCAGCGGGTTAAAGCACAGCACTGTAAAGCTCTCAGCAGCCACTACAGCACAAGTTCCATTCCCGACCAGGGGCTGACCCACATGGTGAACAGACCTCTCCTGAAATGTCTTCTGCTGCCCTCAGCAGTATATTTCTGTCAGTCTGCCTGTTTCTGCTCCCCACTCTGACTCTGGTGAATCCTCTCATCCCTTGCACCTCTGGCCTGTACCCCAATGCTTGTATGCACAAATAAATCTTTTTAAAAAGTAGTATGATGAAAGTGTGTACCCCAGAAGATGCCTAAACATTACCTATAACAGGAACCCCAAAAAGGGAGTAAAACCCACTTCCCAATGAAATCCTCAAGCAGCAGTCCCCACAGGTAGAGGGACCATTCCCTCTTATATGCCCTGGACCATTCCAGATTACAGCCCTGTCATTGTTAATAACACTCCTTGTCTTTCTCAGGGCATCCCAATTTGGAAAATTTTAGGATCAGCTCACTTCTGGGAAACCTAAAAGATGAGAAATATCTTAGCCCATAAAACTTGTCTTTGTTGGAAAATAATGCCTGAAGCTTTCAGTTAAGTGAGGAAGTAAGAATCCAGAACTGGAGTGTCCAGTACGGTGACTACTAGTCACATGAGAGTTTTAAATTTGAAAACTAATTAAAATTAAACCTAAACAAAATGAAATTTTTCATTCATTAGTTAAACTACCCACATTTAAAGTGCTCAGTAGATACAAGGGCTATTGTATTGAACAAAAAAAAAAAAAAAAAAAATGGAGCCTTTCCATCACTGCAGAATGTTCTGTCAGGACTCTACTGGAAAAAACTGATTTTTACTAGTTTTTTGCCAGTTGAAATTCTTTACATTCATTAATTTTATCCATCAAAGACCCTAAGTGAGTATGGTCCCATTCTCCCACATATTAGTCTCCCTTGCAACAAGTACTGCAAAATCTTATCTAATGGGAACAGATTAAGTTTCCTAAAAGTCAGACTTGCCTCAATTTGTGTCATTTCTCAAGGCTTCTGAAGGCTTCTGCTTTTGCTTCACTACCTATAAAAAGAATTGTGAGATGAAAAAAATATATATGAAATAGGTTTATTCTGCTAGCTAAGCACTTTAGCAGCAGCATAAGATTTGCTTTCTTATAACTTCCTCTTGAAACTTGACTGATTTTTGTAAAGTCCTTTGCAGGATCCCTCCTTTTCATGCCTTCTTGGGCCTTATTTTCAATAGAACCTTATTATTTATGTCTCTCCTTTTGTGTGGGCCTCTGAAGTTTCTGCTAACTACTTTGTGATATTTGAGAGGGATGTTTTACTCCCCCTAGCCAGGTTCTAGTTAGTGGCATTTTTTTAATCACCACTAAATTTCATTTTAGATGGTTGGATTCCTGAAAAGGATAGAACTACATTCAATAGTAACCTAGTTGGAAATGGTTTAACTTATAATAGTATTGATTTTCTAAAAACATATGATTAAAAGATAAGCCAATAAAATTAGTTCTAGAAAGGAGTTTGCATACAGATACAGATATCACTAAATATTATAAGGAGCACAATGCAAAAGTTCCCTGCTTTCCATCAAATAAATATGCTAAACATCAGTTGCCTAAAATGATTTTTGCCAGACATGCCCACATCATACAACTCACCTGAAAGAGTGCTTTAAAGGAAACTTTCTAATTGTAGGTGTGAGCCACTGCTGTTCATGTCTAAAATAGCAGTTTTGTTTTGGCATTTTCCTTGTTATTTTTTGATTGTTTGATGATTTAATATGACTATTTAAACACATCTTTTGTCTTTCAGTGACGCATAATAATCATGGTTCTTCCTAAGAGTCAAACCAAAAGTAAAATCTGTAACAGAAAAGGTATAGCTCAAGGATGGCAGAGAGCAAACTAGGAAACCTTACTTTTGGTTATTAACACTTACCAGTCATCTGTCATTTTTTTAGTTTCTAGTTAGGTGTGAGAGGAAAGACTCTCAGGTGGGAGATATTTAAGGACAATCTCTGTACTATTCTGGACCCAAATGTACTTTAAACCATTTTTTAAATTAATAACATCAATTTCTATGGTGATAAACAGTGGCTATTCTTAGGCATTTCTAAAAGTTGTTTTAAAAGACAAAAGAATACTAATTTGGTGTAGTTCTTCTAGGTTTACCTCAGATTATTCTCAAAATATTATTTAATTGGAGTGCGTAAAATTACTGGAAAATTTTTTTAAGATTTATTTATTTATGCACAAAAGAACTGGGGTACAGGCCAGAGGTGCAGAGATACTGAGGATAGTCTTAAGATATGACTTTGGGCAGTATACGGTTCAGCCATAACACATGGTACGATACCTTCTTACCTTTTGCTGCCCAAAATATACTTCAGAATAACTTTTTGGATTGAAACTAAGTCAGAAAAAAAGGGTAGATCATGTGGTGATTATGCCATAAGTCACAGAACAAAAGAAAATAACCAGATGGTAGTACTCTTTTGTGAAATATAAATAACCAAAGGGGGAAAAGGGGCCAAACACAAGAAAAATGGCTGTGAAAATATAGTGTTCACCAGAGAAAAGAGGGATGAGACTTGATGGTGCATTGACACTGAGGCTCTGGTGGAGGCCACGGCTGAGGTGCAAAGTCATACTCCCAAATTATGGTTATGTCAATAAAATTTGAACTTAAAATTTTTTAATTAAAATCAGCCCATAATTTTTCCTTCACAATAGCAAGTATCTGGATTAGTTGAGAATATCTAAAGAGGTAGACTGTGAAGCTTCAAGCTTGCAGTTGGCATGTAAACACTGTGTACGTATGAATCTTGGACAAAATTTCACACAAGAATTAACAAACACTCATCTATTTGAAATAAATGTTGAAGTCATATTAATACAATTCTATACTTAGTCACAGAAAAATAATTTTTAAAACATTCTTGATAATTTATTTCGCAACACACCACTGCACCGTGTAAATCACTTATGTAGAGTAACATCACTTCTACGGAAAGGAATAAATTAATAAAAAATAAAAGACAAAGGAAATAGTTGTTTTTCTGTATGAACCAACTAAATTCTCATATACATTCATCAATGCAACATCCAAGTGGCATATTAAAGATTGGACAATCTGGAATAGTTATGTTATCTAGTAAAATATTGCAGTGGAAAGCTCCCTGCTTCTTACCAGGATTGAATCACTACATCCAGGATTGAAGCCACTCTTAATGAAGTCTTCAGCAGCAGTTGTTCTCTAGTCAGCGTGTTGGTATAGCCATGTTTTCTGTCACTCATCAAGAAATGGATCAGAATACTGTACCTGGGGTTTTTTGTTTTTGTTTTGGCGCGCGCGCGCACGTGTGTGTGTGTGTGTGTGTGTGTGTGTGTGTGTGTGTGTGTGTGTGTGTGTGTGTGTGTGTGTGTGTGAAGAGACTCAAAACAACCTGAGGAGATTACTCCTTATTTTGAAGAGAAATGACCTTGAGAAGCTGTTGACTGTATCATGTTCTTCACTTCTCTTAAAATCTCTATGTAACCATCCCCAGACCTGTTACGTTTCCCTTTTATTTCCCAGGACAAACCAGCCTTCTAAAGGCTCAAATGAATTAAAAACTCTTCAGTTGAAGCTGCAGCCCAACTTTACTGGCACCATTTAGCAAACTCTGGCCTGTCTACACCCTCCTGAGAGCTGCTCAAAGATCCCAGACACAGTAGTCTCTGAGCAACCATGAGCAACTAATATCCTCTCTCTGCCTTGTTTCCTTATTAATAAAGTGAGGGTGGTAATTGCATTGACCTTGTACGATTAGGGTGGGATTAAATAGCATTTGCAAAGCACGTGAAACAATGCCAGCATGTAGGGAGTGAGCACTATGTAAATGTCAG